TATCTGGGGTGATACCACAATGGTGGTATTAAGGGTGTGTATTTCCTCCTCGCCTGTGTTTATCTAGAGCTCAGGCCACCCTGTGAGGCTACCCATGTGACAGGATTATAGTTGTCTTAGGGCATTTGCCTCCGTCCCCAAGCCCAAGATCATGTGCTAGGAGACAAAGTGTCTGACCCAGGGCCACCCAGCAGAGGAGGCTAAGGATAAACATAACATTCCTACTGAGGGCAGTAGCACGACAGTGGGTTTCAAACAGGAAGACAGAGCAGGATGCCTGGTGAGGGGAGCTCTGCCTTGGCACCAGAGCAAGGGTGGGATGCAGGCTGGGGCCCACCCAGGGGGACTGAGCAGACTTATGACCATGGATGGGGCACAGAAGGCAGAAGGAGGGAGGGGCAGGGCCTCAGCTGGGTGCTGCCTCCCCCAGTGGCACTGGGCCCGTATGCCTCCCCAGGAGGAGCCACAGCATCGACAGGTCCCCGGGAGCTGGCTCGCTAGGCTCTCCTGCCTCCCAGCGCAAGGACCATGGACGCTCTGAGTCCCTCCGCGTCATCTGCCGGCCACACCGCATCTTCCGGCCATCGGACCTCATCCATGGGGAGGTGTTGGGCAAGGGCTGCTTTGGCCAGGCCATCAAGGTACACCTCATGGCCAGTGGTGGTGGGAGTGGTTGGTCTGGGAGAGGCCCTTCAGCTCTCCCTTATCAGTGGCTGTACAATAGAAGAGATACATGACTTCTAGACTTCCCAGCCAGTGTTCTCTGCTCCCCGTTGGCCTTCTTGATCTGGTTAGAGGGTTGCGATCTACCACAACAGACTAAAACTATGGGGGATGGGCAGGCAGGGCAGTCCCCTGGAAGTCCCCTCCTCAGGGCCCCACACTTGGCCTGTTGCTACCCCCTTGATGGCCTCTGGATTGCCTACCCCCTTCACCTTCTTCCCAAGCAGAGACATGAGCCTTTCCCTGTCTCTGATGTCACTTGGCTGTGACTGGGCTAGACAGATCAAGTGGTCCAGATATCCATCCCCAGTCCCCTGGCCAGCCACTTTTGACCTCTAGGAGACAGGCCAGCAGAGCAGATAGCTAGCCCTGGGTCAGGGGATCCTGTATCTAAGTCCCAGCAACCGCTCTTTCTTGCTAACTTGATGATTTTGGCCCTGTTAGGAAACCTCTCAGTGCTTCAATTTTCTCAGCTATACAAGGATGACGTGTCCCACCCTGGGGTGTCTGGAAGCATCCCAGGCAAAGACAGAGTCTGAAGTCATCCGTACATCTGCCTCTCCCTGGTGGTCCTAGGTGGGGGCTTCATAAAGGCAGGCCTATAGCACAGCCTGTTTATTCCAAGTCATCACACTCTTGTGTCCCCTGCACAGGTGACACACCGAGAGACAGGTGAGGTGATGGTGATGAAGGAGCTGATCAGGTTCGACGAGGAGACCCAAAGGACATTCCTCAAGGAGGTCAGTGAGCAGAACTCACACATCCCTCCAGGCCAGACTTCCAGGTCCCCACACCCTTCCCTGGTTGAGACAGGGTGGCATAGTGTCCAGGAGGATGTGATACTTGAGCCACACATTGAAAAAAAGAGAAAGTATCTGCCATGAGGGCAAGAAAGGAATGGCCACTGTGAGGTTGTGAGTGACCCAGGCAAGATGCACAAGGAGCACAGTGGCCAGGGAAGGTGGGGGCTTCTTCTTTGTGGGGCTATCCATGACCTCTGGTCAGAGGGTGGGGGCAGAAGAGATTGAATCCCAGCTTAGATCAGGCCAAGCCTGGCCCCAGCCTGTTTATGTCCCACCAGGTGAAGGTCATGCGGTGCCTAGAGCACCCTAATGTGCTCAAGTTCATTGGAGTGCTCTACAAGGACAAGAGGCTCAACTTCATCACTGAGTACATCAAGGGGGGCACCCTGCGGGGCATCATCAAGAGTATGGTGAGTCCCTGGCAGGCCCCGCCCACCACACCATTCCAGCCACTACCACTGTTTGGCCCTAGCCAAGGCAGTACCCTCTCTGGACTTCAGTATCCTCAGCTCTCCAGTGGGGATTGATCATAGGGTCTCAAAGGCCCTGACTCCCAGCCAAATAGGAAGCTAACTCCATCTAAAGCCAGGAAGAGGTTGGGAAGGGTGCAGCTTCGCTGAGGGAACCCACAGACTATTGTGGGGTCCTGGTTAGCCTCAGACCAGCTATAGCCTGCCACACCTGCAGGAGGTCAGAGGTGCCTTCCAATTATTAATCCATAGTGGCCTCTTTTGCTTCTGGTAAAACTAAATCCTTTTTACTATTAAATATGTGCCATAATATTCAGCACTTTCTTTAACAAATTGGATTAAATTAAAAATCCATCTCTAGGACTAAAGTACTATGAGGGATGCCTTGCAGCATTCATCCTGGACAGTATCTGGGATCCAGCGCTGGCTCCCAGCCCTGTTTCAGTATCTCCCTGAGACCACACAATTGTGTTCCCATCCCTAAACCTCTGTGTCCTCACTTCCTCAGGTTAGATTATCTGGTATTTCCTGAAGTGTGGGCCCTATGGGCTGCTGATGAGTGTTAACTTCACAGGAAAGAGTTCTGTGGTCAAGTACAATTTAGAAACACAGGGCTTCACTTTTGCCCAAGTATGGAAGACCAACCTGGGCAACATAGCAAGACCCCATTTCTTTTTCTCTTTAGAGACAGAGTCTCACTTTACCACCTTCGGTAGAGTGTCATGGTGTCACAGCTCATAGCAACCTCCAATTCCTGGGCTTAGGCGATTCTCTTGCCTCAGCCTCCCAAGTAGCTGGGACACGACAGGTGCCCGCCACAACGCCTGGCTATTTTTTTGTTGCAGTTTGGCCAAAGCAGGGTTTGAACCCACCACCCTCAGTATATGGGGCCGGTGCCCTACCCACTGAGCCACAGGTACTGCCCAAGACCCCATTTCTAAAAAAGAACAATTGTAAAAAATTAGCCAGTCCTTGCACTCTGGTTGGCCAAGGCAGGTGAATTGCTTGCACTCACAGATTCGAGCTTCCAGCATGAGCTACAACGAGACCCTGTCTCTACTAAAAATAGAAAATCTGAGGCCAAAGGATCACTTGAGCCCAAGAATTGGAGGTTGCTATGAGCTATGATGCCACAGCATTCTACCCAGGGTGGGTGACAGCTTGAGACACTGTCTCAAAAAAAAAAAAAAATTAGCCAGGTATGGTAGTATGTACTGGTAGTCCCAGCTACTTTAGAGGCTAAGGCAGGGGGACTCCTTAAGCCTGGGAGTTGGAGGTTGCAGTGAGCTATGATGCCACTGTACTCTAGCCCAGGGCACAGAGTGAGACTCTGTCTCAAAACAAACAAACAAAAAATAAGAAGAAGAAAGGCTGGGGTGAGGAGCAGTGGCTCACGCCTGTAATCCTAGCACTCTGGTAGGCCAAGGCGGATGGATTGCTAACGAGTTCAAGACCAGCCTGAGCAAAATTCTAGACCCTGTCTCTACTAAAAATAGAAAAACTAAGGCAAGAGGAATGCTTGAGCCCAAGAGTTGGAGGTTGCTATGAGCTATGGCATTACAGCACTCTACCCAAGGGGACAGCTTAAGACTCTATCTCAAAAAAAAAAAAAGGCTGGGCTCTACCACATTAGGCTTCCTAACTGCATAACTGAGTCTTTAATAGGCTCTGATGCTCTGACCCTCTCACTTGTGGTCTCCAAAGAAGGAGGTTAGAGACCAAGGCAGCTCCCCAAATGATTTGAGCTGAAAACCCTATTATCCTGGTGTGACACAGCACTGGGGCTCTCCAGGTGACCTCATTGGACCCTGCTATTTCTTGCCTATCTATGAAAGTCAGTTCAGATTTCTCTAAAAACCTGAAAAGATGGCATTTCTATAGAAGATAAATATGTAAATATGGGTATAGCATTTTTTCTCACAGGAGGCAGATTTGGAGATACAGAAGAATACTCCCCCCTTAGTGTTTGAAATCACTTCTGTTAGAAAATGACATTTTGAGTGGTTTACCCCCACCCCTTAGAAACAGATGGTTGTGGATCCCAAAGCAGGGGGCATCAGGCCCTCTAGCACACTTGCCCCTTCCTGCCTCTCTCATGCAAGTGTCCCGGCCTCTGGAGCTCCCACTGACTCTATACTGGCCATTCTCTCTCCACCCCCAGGACAGCCAGTACCCGTGGAGTCAGAGGGTGAGCTTTGCCAAGGATATCGCTTCAGGGATGGTGAGTGAGCCAGGTGATCCAGCCTCACAAATAAAAGTAAATAAAAGTATGCTCTGCTGCTAACCTAAAATCCCTCAAGGAATTGCCAAGCAGAACCCACAGGGAACCTTTGAAAGCAGGCATAGGGGTTTAAATGGAAAGTAGGAAGAATACTCCCAACTGCCAAGGCTGGGCTGGGGGAAGGGAACCCCTGGAAGGGGTGGGACAGAGCTAGGGTTCCTATGAACTGCTGCCTCCTGACCTCCACCCCTCCCTCCAGGCCTACCTCCACTCCATGAACATCATCCACCGAGACCTCAACTCCCACAACTGCTTAGTCCGAGAGGTAAGTGGCCTGGGTCATACAGGGCTGGGCAAGCTGGGAGCTGGCAGGAAGAGTTTTCAATGGAGGGAATAGCATGTGCAAAGTCCCTGAAGTGTGATGTTCAGGAAGAGATGAGTCACTTGTTATGGAGTGGGGATTGATGGCCTCCATGAGTGTCCAGGAAGCACTGGGAACCTCCAGGCACTGTGGGAAGCAGTGGACAGCAAGTAAAGAGAGGGGCAAAGCTGAATCTCACAAGCTTCCCAGGGGGTCTGCTCACACTGCCTGGTGGGAAGTCACTGCTACATGTGGAGCCAGTGTGAGGGGCAGGGCAGGGGAGAAGGCAGGCCTTTGAGGCCTCAATCCCACACCTGGAATCATCCCTTAAGAATCTGAGAGTTGGGTGGCACCTGTGGTTCAGTGGGTAGGGCGCAGGCCCCATATACAAGGGTAGCAGGTTCGAACCCAGCCCTGGGCAAACTGCAACTGCCTGCCAGGCTTTGTGGCAGGTGCCTATAGTCCCAGCTACTCGGGAGGCTGAGGCAAGAGAATCGCCTAAGCCCAGGAGTTGGAGGTTGCTGTGAGCTGTGACACCATGGTACTTTACCAAGAGTGATAAAATGAGAATCTGTCTCTAAAAAAATAAAAATAGAATCTGAGAGTTGTGAACCTTCCTGTCCCTGAAATCTATGTACAACCAAGACTTTAGAACCCCTCTTGTAAAGTGGGGCCTCTGAGAATCCTAGTGGTCACCCTCACTTGTTCCCTCTGCTGTGTTTCCCATGGCAGGGTCTACAGACCCCATGTCAGAAGACCCTGGAGCGCTCATTAAAAGTGCAGATTGCTAGCCCCCAGGTCTTCTAAAAGGCACAGGCAGGAATCAGCACTCAAACAATCCTAATTGGCCCTGGTTTCTGAGAACTAGGCAGGGAGGAGGGTCCAAGGATCCTGGTCAAGATCCTCTGACCAGCCTGCCACCTAGTATTACACCTCAGGTGATAGACCCCTAGAGGGACCGTGTTTTACCTACAGGCTGATCTAGGTGGACACATGGTCAGCTCCCCCCCTCCAATCTGCTGTCCTGCACAGCTTTTTCCAGGTGCCTCATTTATGTCACTCCAAGAGGGAGCACAGGGTTCTTCCCTTCAGGAAGAACGTGGTTCTGACCCCTGGCTGGCTGGAGCCCTGCCTCCTTGCTGTGTCCATTACTTGTTCCTCAATGTAGGGTCCAGGCTACCAGGGCCCCTGGCATTAAATGTCTTAGTCCATTTTGTGTTGCTGTCACAGAAAACCTGAGACTGGGGCGGCACCTGTGGCGCAAAGGTGTGGGGCACTAGCCCCATATGCCGGAGGTGGTGAGTTCAAACCCAGCTCCAGCCAAAAACTGCCAAAAAAAAAAAACAAACCTGAGACTGGATAATTTTTTTTTTTTTTTTTTGAGACAGAGCCTCAAGCTCTCCCCCTGGATAGAGTGCTGTGGCATCACAGCTCACAGCAACCTCCAACTCCTGGGCTCAAGCGAGTCTCCTGCCTCTGCCTCCCAAGTAGCTAGAACCACAGGCACCCACCACAGCACCTGGCTATTTTTTTGGTTGCAGCCGTCGTTGTTTTTGGCAGGCCCAGGTTGGATTCGAACCCACCACCTTAGGTGTATGTGGCTGGCACCTTAGCTGCTTGAGCCACAAGCACCAAGCCGAGACTGGATAATTTATAAAGAAAAGAAATTGCTTTCTTATAGCTCTGGAGGCTGGGAAGTCCAAGGCCAAAAGGCTTCCTCTGGTGAGGGCCTTCTTGCTGGTAGAGACCCTGCAGGGATCCCAGACCCACTCTCATGATAACTGACACAATCCCTTGATAACCCAGTAGTGCATTAGTCCCTGCAGAGCTCTTATGCTTGTGACCCAGTCACTCTTTTTTTTTTTTTTTTTTGCAGTTTTTGGCCAGGGCTAGGTTTGAACCCGCCACCTCTGGCATATTGGGCCAGCCCCCTACTCTTTTGAGCCACAGGCACCGCCCCGACCCAGTCGCTCTTAAAGGCCACACTTCTTAGCACTTAGAACTATTACAGTCACACACCGTATAATGACACTTCAATCCATGACAGGCTGCATATATGCATGTATGACGGTGGTCAGAGCAGTAGGCCAAACCATCCAGCCTACATATGTGGTGGGCTAAACCATCTAGGTTTGGACAAGCATACTCTCTGTTATTCATAGGACAAGGAAGTCCCCTAACAATGTATCTCTGAACATGTCCCCGTCTTTAAACAACACATGACTATACTTTGGAGATTAAGTCTCAAAATGACTTTCAGAGAGGACAAGCATTCAAACCATAGCACTAAGCACAAGCAGGCCTGCCCAGGAACCACTGAGGATTTATCCAGCTTCCTGCCTTGGCACTGATGCCCAGGGCTTTTTCCCGGTCCTTCAGCTCTAAGAAGGTCCCACAAACCAGGTTTTCCTGTTTTGCTGGGGTAGACACAGCAGTCAGCATTTCACTCTCCAGGGTCCCAGAGTCACCCTGGAGGGCTCCTATAAACCTAAAACAGTAGAAACAGTAGAGCCGGGGGCTTCAAAGTTGTAGGGTTTTTGTTGTTGTTGTTTTTGAGGCAGAGTGCCATGGAGTCATAGCTCACAGCAACCTCAAACTCTTGGGCTTAAGCTATTCTCTTGCCTCAGTCTCCCAAGTAGCTGGGGCTACAGGCACCCGCCACAATGCTCAGCTATTTTTTGTTGTTGCAGTTATCCTTGTTGTTTTAGCAGGCTCGGACCAGGTTTAAACCCACGTGCCTCAATGTATGTGGCCAGCGCCCTACCCACTGAACTACAGGCAGCACCCAAAATTGTGGTTTATTTTATTTTTTGAGACAGAGTCTCACTATGTCACCCTTGGTAGAGTGCTATGGCATCACAGTTCGCAGCAACCTCAAACTCTTGGGCTTTAAGAGATTCTCTTGCCTCAGCCTCCAAGTAGCTGGGACTATAGGCGCCCACCACAGTGCCCAGCTAATTTTTGTTGCAGTTGTCATTGTGTAGCTGGCCTGGGCCAGGTTCGAACCCACCACCCTCGGTGTATGTGACTGGTACCATAACCACTGTGCTTTGGGCGCTGAGCCCATAGTTGTTGGTTTAAATCCCAGCTTCATCACTGACTAGCTGGGACCTTGGGCAACTTGCTTAACCTGTATGAGCCCCTCATTTGTAAAATAAAGATAAAAATAACAGACTTCACTGGATTATTAGGAGAATTAAAGATGAAATTTGTGACATGGCATATGTAGGGCCTGGATCTCTAGTCAGAATTCCTGTTTCCTTTTCTAAACAAGGCAACACTGGTGCTCCTCATGGGGCAGAGGAAGTACTTAGAGGAGTGGGGTGCAACAGGATGGTTTAGGGGAGTGGTAGGGACGGGAAAAGGGTACAGTATTGTGGTGGCATTTTCAGTTGTTTCTAGAAGCTGTGTTTGCCAAGGACAGACCCTGCACCAGCCCCTGGGTGTCGGGGGTGTGTTCTGGTCTGTCTGGGGTTGGTGTGGGGTCCCAGCCAGGAGCATGCTGGGCAGGCAGTGCCAGGATCAGGTCTCAGGGTGACCATGTTGCATTTCCCAGAACAAGAATGTGGTGGTGGCTGACTTCGGGCTGGCACGGCTCATGGTGGATGAGAAGACTCAGCCCGAGGATCTGCGAAGCCTCAAGAAGCCAGACCGTAAAAAGCGCTACACCGTGGTAGGCAACCCCTACTGGATGGCACCTGAGATGATCAACGGTGAGTAGGTACCTCAACTGCCAGGGCCCCCAGACCCCTGGGCTAGACCTGGTACCGTCTTTGGGGGACCCAGGGCCCCAGCAGAGCTGTGGCCACAGGCCTCTCAGGTCTCCCCTGAATTCCTCAGACCCTCTACTTCCTCTTTGGGTCCTGGTTAGTTTCCTATTTCTGCTGTAACACATTCCTACACACTTGGTGGCTTAAATTATCATACAGTTCTGGAGGTGCAAAGCCCAACATCAGTCTTACCAGACTAAAGTCAAGGTGTTGGCTGGCTGCACTCCTTCTGGTGGCCCCAGGGAGAATCTGTCTTCCTGTCCTTTCCAGCTCCTGGGGGCTGCCTCATTCCTCCCTTGTTGGAGAGCACTGGGCCCACCTGGATGACCCAAGCTACTATCTCCAACTCAAGACCCTTAATTTAATCCCACATGCAGAGTCCCATGTAAAGTAGCACATGCACACATGCCTGGGGTAGGACATGGGCATCTTTAGAAGACCATGGTTCTGCCTCCCACGGGGCCTCGCTCCCCTACTTCACTTCTTTGTGGTCAGTGGTCCTGTGTATACCCAGAGTATACGTTATAAAGTCCCACCACAAGCAGGTGATACGCAAACACAGGTTCAGGGTGAGCCAACCATGGGTCAGCTCAGCACCAGCACTGACCAAGTTAATATAGTTAACATATCCCAGACCCCTGCCCAGAGCCAGCCAGCCCCTGATTTGCCTATAAGAGAATCTTCATGGTCCTTAACTTTTTTTTTTTCTCACCTTGTCGCCCTCAGTAGAGTGCTGTGGCATCACAGCTCACAGCAACCTCCAGCTCTTGGGCTTAGGTGATTCTCTTGCCTCAGCCTCCCGAGTAGCTGGGATTTCAGCCTCCCAAGTAGCTGGGACTACAGGTGCCCCCCCCCACAACGCCCGGCTATTTTTGGGGTCGGGTTAGAACCTGTCACCCTCGGTATATGAGTAGGGTGACCAGATTTTAACATTTGTAAAGTGGGACAACATGACCTGGGAGCGGGGCAGGGTGGGGGGCAGGCAGGGGACGGGGCAGGGCAGGGCCTGACAACAATGCAAACTTTGATAAGTAGTTCCCGATAATCACTTCTCAACAATTATTTGTTATTATTACAGTTTAACATTATAAAATTAACAAAAATAATATAAAACTCATATTCTGGCAAAATAGCCACATGGCAGCCGAAAACCGTATATTCCCTTCCTGTTCTCCTGCCCATTCATGCATGCTTTCCAAAAATCGGGACTCTTTTAAAACGCCGCGGGACGCAGGACAAATTGTTCAAAAGCGGGATGTCTGGTCACCTAATATATGAGGCTGGCGCCCTACTCACTGAGCCACAGGCACCGCCTGTGGTCCCTGTCTTTAAGGGGTGGTGTGAAGATTGCATAAGGTTTGTTAAGTTCATCGCTACCTAGTTGGCATCCAATAAGTTAAAGTGACTGTGCTGATCATCATTAATATTAGGTAGATAGTATTCTCATTTTACATATGAAGAAACTGAGGCTCAGCGAGTCTGTGAGAGTTTCCTGAGGTTGCTGTAACAAATTATTATAACCTCAGTGACTTAAAACAGCAGAAATAGATTCTTTCTCAGATTTGGAAGCTGGAAGTCTGTAATCCCACAGGATCATACTCCTTCCAGGGTGACCCAGGGGAGAAAGCATTCCTTGCCTTTTTCAGCTTGTGGTTGTCTTGCTTTCCCAGGTTTGTGGCTGCATCACTCCAGTCTGCTCCTGTATTCACGTGGCCTGGGCCGCCTC